CACTCAAAATTGAGCTAAAAAATATGCCTATATAAAACCATTTTCCAACATGTGGATGAGGAGATGCAGGAGAGTTTGATTGAGTGGTTGGAGGAGCAGGGGTATTGGAAGAGGAACAATGGGTGGGACCAGGTGATTATATGTCAAGACCCCAATGCATTGTACAAGGTTGTGGATAGAGTTAAGAATGGGGTGTTGCTTGTTTCGGAGTTTTCGTTGGTGAAGGATGTGATATTGCCATATTCGCATCTGATTAAAACCTTTGATGGGGATGTTGGTGTTGAGTCTAGGAAGTCGTTGGTGTTCTTTATGGGGAACCGGTACCGGAAAGAGGTAAATTTCTATGCTTTTGGTTGCGTTAAATATGCTTGGTTCTACTACAAGATTGTAAAATTAAGCTTGCTGATTGACACAGATATATGTATATGTAGTATATGTATACAGAAAGAGAGGAGAAAGAAGCCATTTTGGGGAGAATGAGCTTATCCTGTCCCTGTGGATGTAAGGGACAACATGTTCTATTTACACTCAAATTAACATGTAGATACGAGGCAAAACAAATTATCATGACAAAGAAATGATGAGATCAATGCAATCTTTGGAGAATTTAACTTGAATTTTGTGTACTGATGATGATGACTAATATTGCTTGATTTGTTTTGTGTGGAACTTTGGATTGAAACCATGGTAGTTGATTTTTCTTCCTTTTGTCACCTTTTTGTCTTGTGATGTTTCCTCGAAGTTCCGCTTCAGTGCTCGTTTACTTTCATATTCTTGGCTTTACAACTCGCTCATCTCCTCATCGTGGAGTTGGGGTCTAGGGAGCATCCACATTCAACAGATAATGGCCTTTGGGGTTTAGGTTGTCTCACCGGATTGGTAGGCAGTTGTAATTTCCACCACCCTTGTCTATTTTCCTTTTTAGGTCCTCTTGTCTTCCTCTTTCTGGTTTAATGCTTCTTTAATTGGTAGATTGCATGGATGTTTTTCTCTTCTTGCGCAAGTAAGTAGTTGTTGTGCTCGTTATTTTGGCAGGCAAAATTTGGTTATTTATTGTCTATGTGTGTATTTGCAGACGCTCAGTCTGTGTGAGATGTCTGTGCATGTTATATGAGCCTATATGTAAACTGACAATTGCTTGCATTGTAGGGTGGGAAAATTCGTGACATGCTTTTTCAACTACTTGAGAAGGAAGAAGATGTGATAATAAAACACAGTGCACCATCCAGAGAGAGTCGACGTGCAGCTTCGCAAGGGATGCATACATCAAAGTTCTGTTTACATCCTGCTGGCGATACTCCGTCAGCCTGTCAATCTTAAGATTGTTGGAACAATCTTCTGTGTAAATAAAATAAACTGAAATAATTCGAACAAAATAAAATAACACTTACAGAAATTATTTTGTTGAACCAAACAAAAATAAAAAGACCAAGTATATTCTGAATTGTTAATGACACCAGTATCGTACTACTAGTTGTTGTCAAAGAAAAGAGACAGTATATTACTACTATCTGTCAAATAGCATATAATCACTATTTTTTTCCAACCAGAATATTATTTTGTAAATCCACAGAAAATAATTTTCTTCCGAAATTATTTACGAAGAATGAAAAAGGAAAACAAACGAAAAATTCTGTAAACAGAATAATTCGAATCTGTCTTAAGATTGTTGGAACAATCTTCTGTGTAAATAAAATAAACTGAAATAATTCGAACAAAATAAAATAACACTTACAGAAATTATTTTGTTGAACCAAACAAAAATAAAAAGACCAAGTATATTCTGAATTGTTAATGACACCAGTATCGTACTACTAGTTGTTGTCAAAGAAAAGAGACAGTATATTACTACTATCTGTCAAATAGCATATAATCACTATTTTTTTCCAACCAGAATATTATTTTGTAAATCCACAGAAAATAATTTTCTTCCGAAATTATTTACGAAGAATGAAAAAGGAAAACAAACGAAAAATTCTGTAAACAGAATAATTCGAATCTGTCTTAAGATTGTTGGAACAATCTTCTGTGTAAATAAAATAACAAGAAATAAAATCAAACAAAATAAATAAATAACATACCGAATTTATTTTGTCGAACCAAATAAAAATTACAAGACCAAGTCGAGTGTGTGACACTCTGTCCTTAAGACAGATTCGCCCCGCTATGGTACTTACGGTTGAGTGGCGTCTATCTCCCAGGATACAATGACCTTCACAAATTGTAGTAGTACTCCAAACAACTTGTTCGGCGAACCAAACCTGTGTTCTAACTCTCTGAATATTTTTTTTCCCAAAAATTATATATGAAGAATATATGTACTTAGAGCAAAGAGGACAGCAATATCAAAACAAAATACAGACTGAATTTTCCGGGTCCCTCAACTGCTGGAAATGTATCTATATACATAGGCAACAAATTAGACCCGAAAAGGTGCTTCAAATAAGTGAAAAGGTGCAAAACAATTGTCTGACCAACGGCACAAGGAAAACCAATGTTCAAACAACTTTGAAAAGTTTGACCGTTAGACAACAATTATAACCTGTAGAACTTTATTAATTATTCAAACTATTTCAAATATATATATTAAACTAGTGAAATAGTTAAATAAATAAATAAATGATGAGGTACAAACTTTAGGAAACTTTTCAGGAACCTAAAATTTGAATTTAGAATTAAATTGAATTCCCACCATAATTTTTTATTGAAAAAATTCAAATGAATTTAATCTAAAAAATTAAAGTTAAATCCGAAAACGACGTCAACTTCCCATTCACTCATAAATGGTTTTGACGTTCTGTCTTCACTGTGTGACTTGCCACGCGGCAAGGAACAGATCACCTCTTCGGACCCACCCCAAAAGACGTTTGGGGCCCACTCAAAATTGAGCTAAAAAATATGCCTATATAAAACCATTTTCCAACATGAAATTGGTCATGTATTAAAGGGTTTTGGGCTTTGATTTACATGTAATTAAGGTTTGATTTTTGAAAATGAGAAGTCCCACAATTTCAGCCATTTTCGGACTGCTGCTGTCCAGGGCCGCACGTGCGGAGACAGCTCTGTCCAGCCAACTTTGAATATGTATATCTTTTGCATCCGGACTCCGTTTTGAGTGATTCTTGAGCCTAAAATCAAGCCCCGGAAGTCTAGTTTCCAATGGCACTAGTCTCACTCCCAAATTCTAAATACAGAAAAAGTTATATCCAAATTAGTGACGACTGTTCACGTTATGTCAATTAGTTATGTACCATTTCTTCACCTAAACCATTTCCTATCGATTTCTCCTGTTTTCTAAGACATGGATTACAACATATTAAAGAATAATGAGCTTGGTACCACCATGACTAATTGATTGAACGATCAAAGAGAATAAGTAAAGGATCGAGTATAACCTCATATTATGTGTTGTGCACTGTAATTGTAGGTCGAGACGAGGACATTGTACCATTACCACCGAGACCCGATCACTATGAGTAGTAGTACTTTGATGTACCTTTAACCATTTATCGTTATTGATGTTAAATCTCCGTTGTAAGAAATATGTTGACATAAATGTTATGAATGCTATGTGAGAAACACTGTGATATTATGGAAACTTCAAAAGAGTTTATGAAGTTATGTATGTTATGTGAGAAACATTATGGAATTATGAAAACATCAAAGGAACTTGTGATTATGTGAACCCCTCAGGCCAAGGGCCGAACTGTGAAATTGTGAAACCAATAAAGTCATCTATAATCTAATGAGAATGTACTTACTTTTCGTTACTAATTATCAGGAATGTCCTATTAACTTTACGTTAATTATGTCAACTCATGGGAATGATGTGACAGTTACCATTAGGACTATGTTAATTACAAGGCAAGGCAACTATGTTAACATATAAGAATGATTAAACAAAGGTGTATGCTATTGATAAGAGAGCACGTAAAGTAAGTCATTTACCCAAAGAATTTATGTTCATTCTTGAAGAATGGATTCTGAGTAAATATAAGAGTAGCTACGTGTATCCAGATGAATTGAAGTTAATTTGTTATGTTGCTTACGAATTGGAAGTGATCCAGAATCTACGATATAAGTGCAAAGTTTAGCATCATTATGTGACCCTCATGAGAATGTGAATTAGTCTCTAATTATTAAGCGTACGATAATGACATGATACAACAAGAAATGCTCTAGTTATGATATGTTCCGTTTGAATTAATGAATAATGTTCAAGTATGTTTCAGGCATGTTTCCAGTATGTTACAAGTTCAAGTATGTTCAGGTATGTTTCAAGTACATGTTACAAGTTTAAGTCTGTCACAAGTTTACATATGTTACCAGTTTATGTATGTACATGTTCAAGTATGCTACAAGTTCACAATGTTAGGGGATTCCTTTATGGAACGAACAAAAAAAAATACTTATTATTGATTAGCTAGCACTATTACAGTGCCAAGTATAAGTAAGTATGGATTCTGATTTATATTTATGATTCAAGCATAATGCATATGTATGAATTTATTTCCGGGGTATGACATTACATGTATGGTTTGGTCTGTAAGACCTAATGATTATTGGTATGGAACAAAGTGCTACTTGGAACTAAGTGCTACATTGTGAGCCACCGCTAGAGTCCATGTGAGACACCTCTTGAGTCCATACGTATGTGAAAGTTATGAGGCTTATAACCATCCATATAAGTTGTTATGAAATGAAACAAAGTGCTACACGGAACTAAGTGCTACATTGTGAGTTACCTCTAGAGTTCGTGTGAGACACCTCTTGGGTTCATATATGCATGTCCAAAGGCTTCATGCCAACTTTTCAAGGGCTTCATGCCAACTTTACAAGGGCTTTATGCCATATGTTTCAAGGGCATTAGTGCCATATGTTACAAGGGCTTTATGCCACATGTTTCAAGGGCCTTAGTGCCACAAGTTTCAAGGGCTTATAGCCACCATGTTTATGTTGCAAGATTGAACTTCAAGGGCCTCGTGCCACCATGTTTCAAGGGTTTATAGCCACCATGTTTATGTTGCAAGATTGAACTTAAAGCCGTTATGTACGTAGCACAGAATCAGACTAACTATGTGAACTCTACACGTAGCACAGAATCAGACTAACTATGTGAACTCTACATCCTTATATGTATTGCTATGTGTTATGTTTCAATTTAAGCATCGTTTTATTTATGTATTACTATTCACTGAGCTTGGCTCACTCTGTCTAATGTATGTTTCTGTAGGTAACCAACCAAGTGGTCAGTCCTAGTCATGACACATGTTTTCTTTTGTCAACCTTCGTGGGTTCAGGCACTGCACGAAGCCATTTATTTTTGTAAAGTCTATTGAAATGTTGGCTTAATTTTGATTACCCATTTAAAATTAAAGAGGTAGAACTTCAATGATTTTTATATAAGCCCAATGATGGGGCTGGGTCTGTACATATGGTTGTTTATCACCGATGCTACAACATATGGTTTGAAGCTTAATCTATTTTCCATGATGAATGTGATGTATAAGAGGTCCTGGCATGTAGATGTAGCTCAATGGAATTTATATGTATAGTTATTTTCCTACTTTATGCTTCCGATGAGGCCCCATATGTTATTTACTACAGGTTAAGTGTTCGTTTTCAAACGGGTCATGCCCAAACTTTTAGGGGCGGGTTT